CAGAGGGACAGGGACTTCCTTGGTGGGGGGAAGGAGGTATTAGGTGATTTTAAGCAGGAGAACAGTGTGGTCAGATTTGCCATTCAGGTGGTGGCCTGTGACTGCTGTGTAGAGGAGGGCCAGAGTCAAAGCTGTGACACAGCCCAGGGGCAGCTGCCTGGACTAGGGAGAGGGAAAGGAGTTGTGTGAGGCTACGGGTAAGGTGCAGGATTAGCTTCTACCGTTAGAGACTCTGCTTTGGGCTTTTTTTTTTTTTTTTTTTTTTTCCTGGTTTTAAAAGAAAATTGGGCTGGCTCAGTTGGTTAGAGTGCAGCCTTATAATGCCAAAGTCAAAGGTTCGATTCCCCACACTGGCCAGCTGCCAAAAAATAAAAAAAGAAAATTATTGTGAAGTATTTGATATGAGCAAAAAGGCATAAAGAATACCATCCAGGTCTCCTCTGAGGCTCAAGAACCAGACGTTTCCAGCTGGCTGACACCCTTTGAAAGCTCCCCAATCCCAGCCCCCCTGCTGCATACGCCCAAATGGTCACCACGGGACTGAGTTTGCGTTGGTCTCTCCCATGAATTTGCTGTGCTTCTACCCCCTTTGTGCAGCTCTTAACCACACATCACGTCGTTTTGAATGTTGCAACTTTATATAGATGATCTCTAACTGCTCTGTGACTTGCTTTTTTCCCCCCAATATAATGATTTAACAAAAAGATTTAGGATTGGAGATGGAGAAAGGGATCATATCAAGAGATGTTTAAGTGGTGTTAGTCATAACAACAGCTGACCCTCATGTAGCACTTCGTGTGCCCAGTCCACTGTAAGGGCATCATATCTGCTAACTCGCTTAATCCTCACTACAATACTATGAGATATTATTCTATCCTTTTATGCCAGTAGGGAAACTGAGGCACAGTACCTTGCATAACAAGGTCACTCAGCTGGTGGAGCCACGGTATGAGCCCAGGCAAGACTCAGGACTTGTGGGATGATAGGATGGGGGAAGGGAGGAGCTGTGACCCACACTGCTGCTCCCAAATTCTGCTCACTTCCCACCCTGCCCTGCTGTCCCTGGAGCCAGGCCCTGGGCTGCTCCAGGCAGGGGTGGGCTGTGCAGAGGGTGAGACACTGACCCTGAAGTCCAGCACCTGCCTTCTGCTCCCTGCAGGAAGGGAGGAGACCCTGGGTGGACACGAGGTCTCCCCCACGTCCTCCCAGCCTCAGCCACCCCACACTGGCAGGACCCTCCTCTCAGGCCCCCTCTGTGAAGCTGCCACTCACCACAGTCTGACGTAGCCTGCAGGACCTTCCCAGCCTTCTCATGGTCACTAGGGCCTCTCCTGCAGGCCCTCAAGGCAGACAGGGCAGCCGGCACTGTACCCATTTGGCAGACCAACAAACTGAGACTCAGACTATCAAGGTAGGTCCAAGGAATGGGCACAGAGTCTGGAATCAGGAAGACCCAGGCTGGGGTCCTGGCTCTGAGACTTTGCAGCTGTGTGACCTTAGGCTGGAAGGTGGGCCTCCTTACTTCCCCAGGTTGTTGAGAGAGGTTGAGAAATGTTTGCACGGTATTCGCTGGCACAGGGCCTCGCTCGCGGTGAGGGCTCAATGGGGACAGCTGCCGCTGGTAGCATTCTTATTAGTGAGTGCTAATGAGCTCAGCACATTAGCGGCTGAGCTAGGACGAGAACCCTGGGCTCTGGCTCCAGGCCCAGTATCCTTACACCAGACCCTACCCCGTACTCCCGCGGGACAGGCCCTGGGTTCTGAGCCCCCATTTTCCTGCCCTACCAGGAGCTGCGAGGGGGTGATGGTGTTATCATCCCCCCACCCCCACCATCTTGGGCCTGGGGCCCACTTGGCACCAGGCCGGGAGCCCACGCAGCAGAGCCCACGCCTGCAGCAGATGGGAAGTGGGGGTGAGGGAGTCGTGTTCTTCTGATTCAGAGTCTGGGGTGGGGAGGGGCTCACACACGATTCGGTGAGCCCACCCCCTCCCTGGCCTTCCTGGCCACTGCAGAGCTGGTGGATCCGACAAAAGAACAGCTTGTGCGCCCGCCTCCCTCAGCCTGCACACTTTCTCCTTGAAAAAGCGTCTGTGTGAGCCCTCCACGTCCTGTTCTTCCTGGCAGGGCTTCCTCCATCTGAGGGAGGGAGGACACTTGCTAGAGAGAGATGTTGTCCAAGGCTGTCAACTTTGCCCAGCCCCATCATTGTAGACCATTCAAAAGGACTTCTGCCTCAGTTTCCCCACCTGTGAAATGGGAATACCGAGAACACCAACCTCAACGCATGGCTGTGAAGACTCATGAGTAAAGATGTGTGAAGTGCCAAGGACCAGCCTGGCACCTGGTCTCATTCAGTGTATGTCTCTCGTGCCAAGCTTCGCACAGAGGGTGGGGCACTGAGGACAGAGAGTGCTGGGGGCCGAGGAGACCCTGCCACGGCCCTTTCCAGCCCTGAGATGGAATACACCTGTGAGCTAATTGCCTCAGCTCAAGGTTTCCTGGAAGTCCAGCCATCACAAATGCAGTGGGTGGCTGGCCTGTCACTCCATGGGACATCGAGGTTAAGGGAAGACGAGGTAGCAAGTGCCCCATCAGCTAGTGTAGTCAAACTTCACAGTTTGCAAGTGTGAGGGCCTGCCACTTCCGCTCTTTCCTTCCATCTGTCCTGGGCACAGACGGAGGCCTGTTGTCCCATTTTACAGGAAGGGAAACTGAGGCTTTGTAGTTAGTCCTCACCAGAGCCAGGATTTGTAGGCACCTTGGGAGTTAGAAGGAGCCCTCAGGATAGCAAAGATTAGTGTAAGAGGGGGTGGGTTCCATCCATCCCCACGCCCACCTCACCTGGCCCTCACCCGGCCCTCACCCCAGGCTGGTGGGCCCAGCAGACATCTGCAGAGATGGGAGGCTGTGACTTCTTACATGGACTTGGTGGGGGGAAAGGTGGTCGGATTCCCCCTACCCCACTGCTTCATGGGGTCTCTCCTAGAGCCAGCCTCACAGACTTGCATCCCATTGACCCATTTCACAGCCTGGAATGGGGAGGCTGATCCTCAGTCCCTTCCTATTGCCAGCAGATGGAGAGAGGGAGGGGGAAGGCAGAGTTTGAGCCAGTACCAGAGTCCGGGCCTTTTAAATCAGACCTTTCCCAGGGGCGCCACTCAGCAGAGCTTGGGGACAGAGGGGACAGAGAGGGAGAAGGACTTCCAAGGGGGCTGCAGGGCTGGTACTGAGAGAAGCAGTGTGACTAGTGATGCAGGACGTGGATGGGAGAGCTGGGTTCGTATCCTGGGTCTGCTGTTTGCTCCTGGTGTGATCTTGGGTGACTGACCCCAGTTTCCCTGCCCATGAAATGGGGACACTGGTGGTACCTACATCACGACGTTAGGCAGATTCAGTGAGTGAACGTTTGTGAGATGCCTGCTGGGGCTCAGAGTGCACTGACAGCATCCAGTGCAGGTCTTCCCACCTGCCCCAGGAGTCTAAAACCACGGCCTTGACCTCGCTCTGGCCAGGCTTTGGGTGGGCCCTTCTCCGACATGCCCTGATTCAGTCCTGACCACAGCCCTGCACACTGGGCATTCCAAGTCCCCATTTTGTTGATGAGGAAAATGATACCAGAGAGTTTAGCCCACCTGCCCCTCTTGGAACACAGTGGCAGAGCCAAGTGTCGGTCCCTCCAACTCCTCAGCGTGAGGTCACATCACTGTCCACGATGGTGGCTCCTATAGTGTTATCGGGCACAGAGCATGGCAGTGGCACTCTGTCCCCCAGCAGATGGCCAGCAAGCCCAGGGCTAGGCCAGTCAAGCTGGGGAGGGTCTCCTGTACCTGCCCCAAGCTGCAGGGCCATCCCCTCGTGGCTCAGGGCACTCAGGAAATGTGTCCTTGATTTTCTGTTTTGCTTTCAGCTGTATCTTCAGCACCTGGGACAGTGCTCAGCACATAGTAGGTGCTCACTGTATATTTGTTCAGTGAATGAATCGTGAGGATTCAATGAGCTCATGTCTGGGGCCTAAGCCTGGGGGCAGGGCCTAGGGCCAGGCTGAGCAGGAACTGCTCAGGCCCCTGGGGAGTGCAGAAGCACCTGCCAGTCAGTGGGGAACGTGGAAGAGGGAGGAAGCCAGGAGGATGGCGAAGGCTTAATTTGGCTCCTAGCAGCTCGTTGAATTATTAACCTCCTAGTGCTGTTTCTGTGACATCTCTGTTCCAGAGACTACCCCCTCCAAGAGTCTGGATTTGTGGTCTCACCTGCTTCCTCCGCCCCAGAAGGGGCTTCCTCCAGCAGAAGAGGGTGAAGGAGAGATGACACTCCCCCCCCGCCCCAATTCTCCTGCCCCCTGGGGTCTTAAGGGTAGAAGGCGGTGGTGGCAGGGTGGGGGAGGGAGGAAGCAGTAAGGGAGAAGGGCCCTAAATAGTTTGTCCTTATCCTGCTCTGGATGGGGGTGTGAGAGCCAGCTGGCTGACGCCCTTCGAAAGCTCTGGAACACTCTGCATTAGACAGTAATTGTAGTAACCAGGCTCCGTTTATTGGCATTTACCACTTAACCTTCTCCACAGCCCTCCAAATAGGTGCAATTGTCCCAGTGAGTAAACAAGTTCAAAGAGGTGAAGGGATTTTCCCAGGGCCACATAGCAGGTTGGCTTCTGAGCTGGATTTGAATCCTGAGCTGTCTGACTACAGCATCTGTGATCTTAACCAACCGCCACCTGGAACAGTCATGCCACCAAAGTCCTGTTCCCATGGACTGCCCAGTTTGCACCCATGGGTCTGCCCAGTGCCCACACAGCGTCTTGAGATGACCTTAAGGGTAGGAGCCAGCTCTGCTTGTTGCTCACCACTGCACTGGTGCTGGGAACAGAGCCCACTAGGCACATGCATATGGGGAAGTCGAGGCTCACCTGGGGTCCCTCAGTGGGGGTGGTGGGCATCTCGGTGCCCCATGCCTTTCCTCCCTCCCTCACATGACCTCACATGCCCCTTTCTCTGCCCCGTGAGCAGCAGGAGCTCCCAGCCCGTGTGAACTTCTCAGCTTCCCCAGCCCCTGCCCCCGCTGTGCCCACCACCCTGCACTCCAAGATGGATGAGCTGGAGGGGCAGCTGCTGGCCAAGGTGCTGGCACTGGAGAAGGAGCGTGTGGCCCTCAGTCACAGCAGCCACCAGCAACGGCAGGAGGTGCAGAAGGAGCTGGGCGCTCTGCAGGACCGCGTGGCTGAGCTGGAGCATGGTGCGTCCTGGGCCCCACACAGGGCACAGTGGGCCAGGCCTTGGGTCTCAGAGGTGGCTTTGGGGGGTGGGGGACAGATTCACCCAAATAACACATTCATGCTCTCCAGAGGCAAACGCTGGACAGGATGGTGGGGAGGAGGCTGCAGAACACAGGAGGGAGAGAATAATTGGGAGATATTATTAATCATTATCAAAGTTAATAACAGTTACGTTTTCTGGAATATATCCTGGTAGTGGGCTGAGTACTTTACACATCAGCAGCTTTAATCATCACGAAATGCACAGGGATTTTCACAGGTGAGGAAACTGAGGCTCAGAGAGGTCAAGTGACTTGCCCAAGGTCACACAGCAAATAAATGGTGGATCTAGACCTCAAACCGGGTCTGTCTGACTCCATGGTCATGCCAAAACAGCACCTTCGATGAATCGTCAGGATTCTGTCATTTGTCTAACACCTGGCCTGACACTGCCACAGAGTCAGAGAAACATAATAGACAGTGTTTATATAGATATGTGCATCAGGAGACCTGACATCTGTCACTGGATTTCTCTGTGACCTTGGAAGGTCACTTCTTTTCCCAGGCCTCAGTTTTCCTCATCTGAGAAATGGGGGTTTAGGACTCATAAGCTCTCAGGGAACTTTCGGCTTTGAAACCTTGTGAGGACCACCCTTAAGAGGCTTATAGACAGGTTGGGGAGACCAGGGGAAACCATGAGCAAGTAGCCTGGACTGGCTTAGATGAAGAAGAGGAGTTTAGGAGAAGGAAATCCAGGCAGCTTCCTGGAGGAGGTGGGCTTCAAGCAAGTTCTTGAAAGCAGAGGTGGAGAACAAAGGGCCTTGCAGTGAAAGGGCCATAGCAGGGGCACAGCTGCAGGGGAGGGATGGGCATGGTGGGCTTGAGGGCAGCATCCTGGCTGGAGCACAGGGACAGGAGAGGCAACCTCCATCCCTACTCGGTCCTGCCACTCACTGCTGTACACCAAGTCTCCTAAGGGATCAGGGGAAATGCCCTCTCAGAAACCTGCAGAGCAGAGGGGAGGGAGATAACTCGGCTGGAAATCTTTGTGTCCATGGGCAAGTCACCTGTCTTCTTAGAGCTCAACTTCTCCTCTATGAAATGGGCACTGAGCCCCTTCCTCTCTTGCCATGATTCATTATGTCAACCTTCACCCCAAGCCCCAACCAGGTCTGGGAACCCTGAATCCATCATACCCAGCCCCAGAACACTACCCTGAGCCCTCACCAACCAGCTGAGGGAGAGATTCTCCTCCAGGAGTCAGTAATCACCAGGTAATAGGTGTGGTGTTGTATCTCCTTCCCTTGGAGGTAGTGACTCCCCAGTCTACCTCCTACAGAAAGTCCTCTGATATTTCACGACACAGAATCCCAGAAACTCTGAGTTGGAAGACACCTTAAAGATTAGGGAGTCTCAAGATGGTTTTGCTCAAATCCCAGCTCTACCACTTACTAGCTGTGTGGCCTTGACAAGATTACTTAACCTCTCTGTGCTTTGACCTTCTCATAAGTAAAATGAGGGTTATAATAGTGTCTACCTTGTAGGGTTATTATGAGGAATGAAACCATGTATGTAAAATCTCTTAGAACAGTGCCTGCCACATAGAAACCACTATATAATCTTGTTAAATAAGTAGGCAAAGAATCTAAAAAATGACAATAACAGCAGCTAACATTTATTGAGCATTCAGTATGCACCAGGGCCCTTTACATATTCTGTCCAACTCAACCCTCACACAATCCTGGGAGGAAGGAAACTGAGGCCCAGAGATGTTAAGTTTAACTTGTTGAAGGTCACAGGTCACATAGCTGGGAGGGGGAGGCTCAGCTTTGGGCTTTAACCATGCCCCTCAACACAGAGGCAGAGTAGAGAAGGACATGAAGGCACCTGGCACACAGCAGGAGCCCA